TGATGCCTTTGAGTAGATCATTATAATAAACAGCAGTGTGTTGCAGTCTATAAAAGCACACAGGGCAGGGATTTTTCTTATTCACTACCAAACCCCAGCACTGAGAACACGGCCTGGTTCACAGGAGACCCTCCGTAAATATCTACTGAAGAAATAAATGAATGATGCATCTTTCCACCTGTTCCCTCACTGATCTCCAGTCACCCTGCAGAACGTTTTCTCAGCTATTACTACCTAGTAAATGAGGAAACCGAGGCTCAGGTTGTTGCCAGTAGATGAAACCGGTCTTCCAGGTTCTTGTCCCATCCAGAAAGAGTTCAAAGACAAGATGTAGTGGTTAAAAAAGTAAAGTGAGGATTTACTACAGGATGGATGGTACACTCTCAGGGGGAGAGAGGGCAAGCTCAGGTGAGGGGCTGCCCTGAGCTTCTTTGGCAAGTTAGCTACATAGGGTGTAAAAATGAATGGGCGGAATATTCATTGGGGAGGGCAGGGTTTGGGGGTCGTATTCCCTGATTATCATCCCAATTCCACCTTCCCAAAGGGAGGAGGGATTTCTGTCCTTATTTAGTCTGGATCGGAAGTGTCATGGCGTCGATGCATGATGGGCACTTCTGATCTGCAAGGCTAATTTTATTGAAATGAGGACATAATGAGCAAAAGGTTACATTCGGACACTGGAGATTCCTGCCTTTTCTCACTTTCTTTGTTCATCTTCAGGCCACTCATCACCCCAAAAGGTGTGATCCCTTATCAGCCCAAAGGTTCCTGCTTTTCTTTCTCTGCCCAGGGACCCCTGGTGCTTCCATGATGTGTGGTTTCCTGCATTTGGCCTGTGCCCCTCCTTTCTGCCCAATTCCTGCCATTTGGTCTGTGTCCCCCTTTCACTGCTCATATCTAGCTATCTGCCTGCTCTAACAAGGTCACACAGCTGGATACAGCAGGGACAGAAGCTACATCTAGGTGCTCTGACTCAAAATCTCAAGTAAGCATTTCCAATAAAAATGTAAATGTCTATAAATAAAATGTCTTTTTTAAGGGCAGTGAAAGGGTCCAGCTTCTGAGCTTCTGGGTAATGGCACAAGGCAGCTTGGTCAGACTAAACTTCTTGCAGGTCAAAATGATAAAGTCTGGACTAAACATACACAGACATAGTCTATCTGAAGGCATGGCCAAAGGACCAAAAACAGGCTGAAGCTAAAGGCAAATCTACCCTTGAATGGCAGACGGCGATGAGTGGGATTTGAGAGCTTGCAGCCTTCTGCCAGGGGCACTGCGCTCGGCCTGGGTGGGCTGGGGCTGGCTGAGGGGCCAGGAAGTGGGGACGGGGTGTGCGAGCTGCAGGGGCGGTAAGCCTCAACATCTGTGTACAACATTCGCAATTTGCCCAAATCCTCGACCACTAAACCATACATGCAGTATCAAAACACGCCAAGTGTGCTTTGTGGGGGAAAATGCAAACCCAAACGACTTGCAATGAGTCATTTTCTTTCTACTCCTTTTCATCAAATTACTATTTAAAATGACTTTGCTCCCTAAATGCAGCTTCCTCAAGCTTACTGAGGCTTGATGTTTAAAGAACTGGGTACACTGATGCCAAAATAAAGATAATAAAAGATTTATTAAGAATTAAAGTTCAGAAGTTAGGGTTTGGGGCAGAGAGAAAAAAAAAAGAATTAAAGTTCAAAGTCTAATAATGATTTGAAAATCTTCTACTTATTAGTAGCACACAAGCACAGATCTTACAAAAAATAATGATGTTTTTATTATCAGGTTTACAAAGACAAAAAAGAATAGACAGCACTCAGTTGATGAGGGTGAAGGGAACGCTGCTGACAGAAATGTTAAGTCGTTCAACTTCTGGGGAGATCAGTTTGGCAGCCTACCAGAAACCTTCAAATTATGCATACTCTCTAATTTTAAGAAATATATCTGGAGGAAATAAATGTATATGCATATAAAAGATGTTTTTAACTTAAATATATTCGTCGCAGCACTACTTGTAAGTGAAAAAGTAGAAACTGTCTCAATGTCCCATAAGTAATTTACAAACATGATAAATTCATATAATAGATGATTACAGAATAATGTTCAAAATCTATTACATTTTAAAAACAAATTACCAAAGAATGTGTACAGAGGCACTGTAATGGCTGCTATGGTGCAGAATACATGCTACATAACATACAACACTGTATTAATTTACTCCCATCCAAATTTTGGATTAACCCTCAGTTGGCCTGTGGAAGTTTGGTTAGTGTTTCTCTCTCTCATACAGATAAGAGAAGAAAAGAATTGTGAAGAAATCAAAAAGCAGTTCAGAAATCTAAAGCAAGATAATGAACTGGCACAAGCTGGCTTACTTCTTCGGCATTCATCAAAACATTCAGTACATTTACACCATATGTAAAATCTTCCCGCTTACCTTAAAAGTCAGCATAATGCTGATAAACAGAAGAATAATAAGGACCAAGCAGGTAGGATTCACTGACATGATATCATCCTTATAAGGAAAGTTGGGAGGCTGCAAA